CGACACAGCCTCTGGCGGGGCCGTAGGGACCCTCTGAAGGTCCCGGAGGAAGCTGAGGGCTGGCAGGCAGAGAGCCGCCGCCTTTCTTCCCTTTCCCCCTCCGCTGCCCAGCTACAACTCCACCGGGGGCTAAAGGCATTCAGCAAGAAAACGAGGGAGGCGATTTCCCCCCAGCTAAAAAAAAAAAACCTTCAGAAGAAACAAGCTTGTGTGTTGCAAGGGAGGCTCAGTGACCTGCCTGCACAGCTGGTGATATTATGGTCTGTTTCCTGACCTCTAGTTAATGGGTTTGTCTGATCACTGCTGCGTTCTCTGTAACATCCTGTTCCACTGCGTTTTGCAGTGCTTGCTTTAAAAAGAGTCTGTGAAATTAGTGTGAAGGGCCTGGTTGTAACCAGAACCTAATTTAGCTGAAATTCTAAATTCTCTCTTCCTAAGAGCTGCTTGAAGCTTTACTTGATAGCAGTCCCTTTCTCTCGAATTTTAAATAAGGCAGCGATGCATATGTTGCTCTAATATTTCCCTTTTGCTTTCCTCGCACACAGGATTTCAACAAGCGTTAGGGAACTGGAACGCTTCAGGGACATCTTACGAAATATGCGGTGAATTCACTGGAGAAAGGGAGACTTAAAGTTTTACTGCTCGGCCGTTCTGCGTTCTCTAAAAATGGACAAATGCCCTCTTTCCAACACACTCCCAACCACTACACGGTGAGAACCGCTTGCTGGCCCTCCTCTTCCCAGGATTGTCTGTAACCTGCTGATGAGAAATTATTTTGTACAAGGAAAAAAACCAGCTACTTTTTTTTTGTATAAAAGTGAGGACTATATGTAAAGTTTATTTTATATATTGGAAGATCATTCTGAGTAACTTCTTTAAATATTGCTGTACTATTTTGATGGATTAGACTCATCCTTGCCTTCAGAAGCTGGAGGTAGGGCAAGAACCATGACGCTGAATAAATTTGGGGTGCTGCCTTCTTCCTGGTGAAACTTTCTCATGGCCGGAGGCTGTTCCTGATGCTCTCTGCTGCGGTAACCCTGCGTGTTGTAGGCTTCGGGGATTGCTTCCCTGCTGAAGGCAAGGGGAGCTGAAGCCAGCAGCTCCTCCCCGCTAGCTCCTTTGGGACTAGAACAGGGCTTCCTTAGGAGCCCCGCAAAGCCGCTCTGCTTCCAGCCACTGCCTGAAGACTCCCCCCTCGCCTCCTCTTTTAGGGCAAGGGGAGCCAGCACTCACCCGAGTTAGAGCCTCGCGAGCACTGGGACCGGTGGCCTTTCTGGCCCTCCCAGCCCCTTCGAGCGGGTTTGTCCTCGTTTGGGATCCGCTCCTCTGATGCCGGGAGCCGGGCAGGGCTAAAAAGGGAAAGGACGTTCCTGCCGCAGGGCTGCTGCTCCTCAGAGGCAGCACGGAGCTGCTCAGGGGCTGAAGCGAAGTTGAATTTTGCCGCTCCAAGGACAAGCGGCTGGGGAACACAGAGCTGCGGGGGGCGAGCGGAGGGCCCTTCCCGGGCTGGGCATGGCCCCCAGGCCCCCATCTAACCTGGCAAAGCAAGGGGTGACCCCCCTCTCCCCCCGGCCCTGCTGCCAGTTGGGTCTCACAGGGATGGAGCCAGCCCCGACTACACCAACACCTTC